TCTTGGACAGCTTTGTGGTGCACCAAACGGACTCTTCAAGGCATTCCTGTTCTTGGATATTGATTTGGCGGGCTGAAACAGTAGCTGACGTAAAGTGCTACCCCACCCACCTACCAGTTTTCCTGTCACTGCAAAACAGCATGGTATTAGCAGTTGCCAGCTCCTGATTTGACACGTCAGTCGAAGCCCACGCCTCAGCAACACCGATAGGGTGAGCAAAAGTGTCCCTACTCAGGTCCCGCAGCTCGTCAAGTTTGTTCACCAAACTTTGTGCATTGGTGTAGATGCAATCTATGCTCTGCACTTGGAGTGCAAAGCCTGCACCCTAATTGCTGACTACGAGTGTAGTGTTCCCTGCCCTTTCCCCGCTTTTGCATCTGGACAGTCTCCCAGAGATACAACTAGTTCCAGCTTTTCTATTTTCGTTGAAGCCTTTCATGCTGCGACCCATCCGGCCGCCTGTGCACTGCGGATGGCAGGTGACTTCTGTTCGCCTAGAAAGCCTCCAGTGTGGACGCTGTCATCTGAGAGGTTGGAAAGACCACTTTGATCAGCCTTGGTCTGAGGTCATCGTCTTTCTCGGGCATGCGTGAGACGCCTCGGGTGATTATTTCCTTCTGGTTCATGGTATTCATGAGAAACTTCCACTTGCGAAAATCGTAGTGAATATCCTTGGTGCCTGGGTTCTCTAGTATGCCTTGCACCATTAGGTTTCTTCCTCTGAAGTAGGCATCACTATTGTCGCCCGACAGATTTTTTAGAGCTTTCCTCTGAGAATGTGGGATGTCCGGCAGTATCCCAACTTCCGCTTCAGCCTTTAGCACGTGAGATTCTGAGAGTATATCCTAAACATCGTCTGGGCTGGAGAATGTGAGCCTCAAAAGACGGAGTTTGCCCTTAGTTATTGGACTGGGACCACGAGAGAGCCTAGTTGCGGCTATTAGTTTTATGTGGTCCAGCTTGAGTTTTCTGCATACATTCTCCCAAAGAACCCTATCATTCTTGTCCTGAAGGCTATATGGGAGTTCAGGGCTGCCTGTCAGGTTCATGATGATCCAGGAATAATTCCAGCCAGCGGTATGTCTTGTCAGCTGTCGTCGCTAGTTCTTTTGTTGAGCTTTCATCTTTTCTGCAGCTTTGCCGTCGTTCGTGGGCAACACGTTCGCTTGTTTGACAAACGCTTTAGTGACTTGCATGGTCTGACGACAATTCCATCTTCCTGCGGACCAATGTTTAGCCTCCCTGATTTCCAGATCACCGGACTTAGGTTTGTTCCCTGGGTTTCTCACCTTCCCAAACCCGACGGGTTTGGCTGGGGTTGAAACTCGCTTGTTTTTATTTCGTACAATGGTTACCTATTCTCCATCTTGACTACCCTTGTTTGGTATGACCGTTTCATTTTGCGCCTCATCCGTTGATGACAAAATCCGAGCGAAGGACTGTAGGACAGTCGGTGTTATTGCACCTCCGAGATGCATCATGTCCTCCGTCTAACCAGACCCTTGCCCTTACCGAGTGACTTAAGCACTTTTCCTCCAGAAGATTTTCTAACTCTGTAATCCCCGTGCTTAGGCACTGCTTTTGAGTCTTCCAGCTTGCCCTTTTTATGATCTACTTTCAGCCTGTTTTTTGATTCCGATATCATGCTGGTGATGTTTTCAAGAACATCGCCTAATGCAGATCTGCACAAGCGGCAATGCCACCTGAGGCCATGCTTACTGAGTTTGGTGTACTCAGTTCGCTTTAAGTCAATGCAAGCGCTATGGAACCATCCGTCGCGTGTGTCACGTCGTATACCCACATGAACAAGTTGACGAAAGCCCTGCCTCTTGAACATCTGTTTGGCCATCATTTTTGTCGAAAGTATAAAAAGGGTGTATATTAAAAAAAATTGAAAATATAAACTCTGGTGAAGCTTGAGAAAGAGTAGTAACCTAAACGTTATCAGGTCAAACCAAAACTGGGACAGAGGTGAAGCCTCGTTATCCTAGTATGAACAAAAATGCACGTAAAGAAGGGTAAACTTATCTAGCTGGAAGCTCGGAAGAATGCTCTTACTGAAACCGGAGCTGTCGTTGCATTATACACAACAAAAGCCAAATTGCCAAATCATGGTAAGATTACACTTCCTTTCAAAAGTGCGCCACCACCCAATGGTTTTATAAGATGTTCGAAGGGAGCCAGCTACTGCCCAAGCCATTCAAGCTGAAGTCAATTTACAGCCAGCACAGCTCTCAGGAATGATCCTTTATGCTAGCTGTGCTACCTCTATCCCTTTCCACGGTCACCTTCGCTGTCGAAGCCATCACTTTATTCAACGTGGCTGCGGACCTAGTATGAAACCGAAAGACTAACATAAGTTGGAGTCCAACACAGCTGATAACAACAGGTCTGCAACCACCCAGGTGTGTTCGGTGAGGGACAGGACTAAATTTCTCCGATATACCTGAAATCAAAGCAAACTATAGGGGAAGGGCAGCAAAAGTGAATGCCCCCAAAAATTTTCCCGGAGGACAACTTAAGGAAGTGACGCTTGAGACGTTCTTCATGTGTACCAAAACATGCTAAATCACGCTCAGAGACACTCAAAAAGATCTTGCTCTCTCCTAGCGAAGACGAACGCTAAAATTCCGGTGAAGGTGAAGAACGGAGCGACGAAGTCGCTACTGGACTAACAGATGAAAAGTACACTAAACTGGCAAGACAAAGTGGCCGAACCATTATGTCTTCTTCTCTGAGTCGCTTTTAGTTTCCATGACAAATAAGGTTGCCTTGTGACATCCATTTCACTTTCTTGGCATATCTTTAGGTTTACCTTTCTCACAGATGATGAAATCGCCATATACATATGTTATACAGATGAAAATGGTCGATCACTGAACGTAGCTTACTGTTTTCCAGAGTACCCATGACGCAATCAGCTATGACAGGGCCCGGTGGTTAACCTATTGCCATTCCACTCTTTTGTCGGAAAAGTTAATTGTTAAATCTGGATTGTGCATTGAAGACGAACCGTAAGAGTAACCCCTTTAGCAAATGTTTATGAATTCTGAGTTGAAGTTTATCAGTTTCATCGTAGTCACGTAGAGAGCAGATTGTTTCTGTCAAGGGGCAGTTGTGTTGAGCAAGGTTACCTTCAATGACAACATACGCTCTCTACATACGTTGACACCCCGTAGGAAGTTAATGAAGTCGATTCAGTCAGGCGTACTGTCATTATTCATTCGGTACTTCCCCGGCTGAAGGATTTCGTTTAAGCACTTAGCAATCCCACTTTGATGGCCAATTATGCATATCAAGTACTGATGAAATTTAATGGTGATGAAGTTTGGAATGACCGTAGCGTCAAGGATTCACCTAACCAGTCGTCTCTGATTGATCGAGCAGCTCGGCATCGATGATCGATTGACTCTTCATCTTCTTCAGCACTTTTGTCAGCTTTCGTTCTGCTTTTACCATTGCACCTTTCTGAAACGCTTCTTACGAGAACTTCCTTCGATCTACTCATACTCTATCACATATGACAGTTTATCAACACAGTCGTTGCGATTCACAAAGACTGCGTCAGAGATAATATCAAAATGAACCAACACTGTTTTTCACAAGATTTTTAATTGGGCTTTATGTTCTCTGGGTAACACTCATTTGGTATTTGAACTTGCTTTGATGTGACTAGGGTAGGAGATCAGAATCGATGATTTAAATCGTTCAAGTCCCTTGCTGAAAGTTTGAACTAGAATGTTTGCTTGGTTCATTGAAAATTCAAAGTGAAATTTTGTGTCAAGCTCCTTTAGAAATATCAGAATGCCACACAATTTAGAGCCTAATGAGGCTGCTTGTAGTTGTAATGTCAATAAAGGTATACCGCCATCGTTAAATACACATTTCTCAGGGTTTTATGGGCGGACGGGATTGCAAACCTGTCGCATAAGGCTTTTCTTAGGCATTGACCCTGCGTTTTTTGAGGATCTTCTCATGAATGCTTTTGTGCAGTCTTTGTATTTTCTCTGTAAGCCGTCTGATGATTCTTATAAGACATGTTCGATCAATGAGATATTGCCTTTGCTTACTGGGAATCTAGACTTTCTACTTAAGAAACTGTCCTTGAGAGAACTTGACCGAGATAGAAGATGATCTTAGTTTTTCGTCCTTGCAGAATACCCATGAGCGAGAGACAAAAAAGAGTACCACGGAGTAGCCGCGTGGGAACAGTAAAGTTTGGCGAATCGTTCCGAAACACCAACGTATTTCGATCAAACAGCTGGAGGATTGCGTACAAGTAACGCAACATAACATGGCAGTATGACAAGTAGCATGAGTACTTGGCCATGTATCACCAGCTTGTCCAGTCTGGCGGAACCACCAAGCCCATCATCAACTGCAAACCTTGTTAGGTCCTGGGCTATTGATTTTGAATAGTTCTTTGCCACCACAGCCTAATTAGCTTGGTTCTTGGTGAGGAGCTTCAGAAACTAATGAATTGAATGGACGTAAAATTCTTCCAGAACTGTTGTTGAAATTCATGTTGATGAATTCACCTTTTCAGTCAGTTAATTCGCTGTAGCAAGACTGTCAGGAAAGAGCAGCATCGCATTAACTTCTTTCACTTTCACGGGATCCTTGAAAAAGAAAACCTCCAATCAGATCTTCATTGTTTCCAAAGCTACAAGCAGGTTACCTGGAAAGAATTCTGCAGCCATCAAAGTTGGACAACCAAACAAAAGTCCAGGCTAAGGACTTTAACGGGAAAATTCAAAATCTTTCAGTTTATTAGCCTTGCTAAATTAATGTTGGTTATTGTTGGTTGGGGCATACAAGACAGAATCTCTGTGGTCATGATTCAGTTCCAATGCTACAGTAGGAGAATTCATAGAACTTCCAGTCCTTTAATTGTGCAATTTGAAATTAGGAGTCACGATGACTGAATGTGATGGGTTCAAACAGTGTGGTGGCAGTTTGTATTGTACGTTACTCTGAGATGGTAAATTGGGATTAACAAGATGGTGCAGTTGTCTTCTTGGGTAGATCTTTGGGTAGGTCTTTTCTGAAATTTGCTCCGATTTACGGCGAACTTGTAAAAATCTTCTTCGACTTACATTCGAAAGTGTAGACTAAACATAGAAACCTGAGGGGTTTTGCATGAGTTACTCTTACACTGACTTGCAAAGTGAATTGCGAAATGTTCCGCAGTAAACCCTCATCTAATTCTTTCGATAATCTGCAAAGTGTCTAAATATTTCTTGGTTTTGCTTTACAAAGTTATTTCCGCATATATATATATATATATATATATATATATATATATATATATATATATATATTACTCATCATAACTCACTACTTAAGCTGTAGTTAGTCCAGATTTAATCGTGTTTATTTAGATAAATTCTCCCAGACATTTTGACTGCGAAATTTTATTCATAGCGTATGGTTTTCCTCTTGAAATTCGGAAATCTTATCATGTTGAACCAAATTGTTTTGTAGCGCATGGAGTTGATGTTGCTATTATGGGGTTTCTGTGAAAAGCCGCAAGCGCTAGCAAAAAATGACAATCAAATATGAAATGCATCTAAAGTTTTTGTTTCTACATATTCTTATTTTGTAGAATCGATGAGTAAATTCTCTAAAGTGTGAATGTATAAGCGCATATATTTGTCTGGTAGGTGCATCCACAACCAGATATGAAATCTAACTGATTTCCTCGGGCTTTCGTTCTCGAGCTATGCCTAGAAGTCTGACAATTATAGAACCTAGAATCTTAGACAGTATGTTGATCAGGCTGATTCTCCTCTGATCAACAAAAGATTTTTGACCTCTTTTGAGATTGGAACAATGAGTGATTACGACAGGTTAAAGGGGGTAGTATCTGACTCCCATGCACTAGTTAACACTTCAGTTAACTTGGCCAGTAATTTACCACCGTCTTTAAGTACCTCCCGTCTAGCCCTTCTCCTTTTACTTGTTTAAATTCGCTTACAGCTTTCTCGACTTCTGTATGTGTTAGGGGGTCCAATCTCAATGTCCCACCAAGGCTTCGACTGGATAGCGAGTAACGGGATAGCAGCTGGCGGCCAGTTGACCTGTTACTCGAAGTGTTTTACCTATCGTTTCAGTCATCTTCCCTGCAAGTGAATTACAAACCCATCCTTCTCCGCTATAGTTTCGCTAATCACTTACCTTTCCACTCCAATTTTCTTAGTAAGTTGAAATAAACTGTTTGCTGTTATCAATCGCCTCCACGTTTTCCACCTCTAGACTTGTCTACCCACCACTGCTCACGGTCATCGTGTAGACGTTTTGTCAGTCTGCGTTTGAGTTGCATTCGCTCCTCATTGTACTCGGAGCGTAAAGGGGTGTGTTTGCGTGTATCCACTAATTTGAAAGAAGCTGCTGGGATCCAGTGGTCTTTCGAACCATTCTCTGAGAATCGGCTTCAACCTACATCGGTTTTCTCACAGCAGACTAAAGAGGGCACCAACCTTCTTCCGGATGAGTGATAGTGTTCTGTTCCGATGACTGTCTACCCAGTTTCTCACAGAAAGCCGCCTTATCGCTCTTATTGTTGAACTGCACTTGTAGTGGTCTTGTTCCGAAAGTTATCATACGTCTACGTAGACCCAGACATAGATGCACTCGAACTAATGTGTGGTCACTGTTCAGATACATGCTCGTTGATGAGCGACAGTCTTCCACCGACCCTCTGCAGCGATGAATGATGACAATATGGTCTATTTGTGTCCACCACTAAGTTGAGCTCGATGCACGCCATGTCAAACAACATCGATGTATGTTTGAAGTTTGTGCTGGCTAGAAATGAGTGGTTCTCTAGGCCAGTCAGCCTTCTCATGTCTTCCACCGTCAATGGCCATGTTTCACAGCCATACAGTAGAACAGACTGGACTGCTGTGCAGTACACGCCATCTTTAATAGACAATCGGATATCATGGCGGCGCCACAGGTGGTGTAAGCTGGATAAAGCCAATTGTGCCCTTTGTATCCGTGCAGAGATTTCACCGGCCACTGAGCCATCAGGGCACGGCTGATCCTACTTCCCAAGGTCAGTGAAGTGGTCGACACACTCAATCACTACACTCTATTGTTAGCCGCGGTGGGGCACCGTTGAAGACCAATCCTGGAGCAACAATTTGCATTTGAGTGGTGAGAACCCCATACCAAACATTCTCAAATTCCCACTCAAAGTGTTCACAAGACTCTGCATCTTGTCAGCATCTTCACCTAACAGGACAATATCATTTGCATATTCTAGGTCTAATGAAAATTCCCCACCGATTAGGTCAACCTGTGTGTAATGAGGTGACGAGAGGGAAACCTCCATAAGAATATCTGTGATAAAATTGAATGACAGTGGAGAGAGTGGGCACCCTTGACGGAGACCACTCGTTGAGCATAGCTGCCTGAACATCTCTCTATAGGCCTGCAAGTGTTCGAGTGGAGAGCCTTCAATAAAGTGATGTACTTACTCAGTAAGCCTTTATTGAGAGACATTGCCTTAAGACTTCTCGATCAATGGAGTCGAATGTCGCCTTCAGATCGAGAAATACAGCTAGTGTTGGGCGTCGGTAAGCTTGTCTGTGTTCCAAAACCTGGTACAGTGTGAATATTTGGTCGATGCACCCGCGGCCAGGTCTAAAGCCTACCTGATTTTCTCGGGCTTGGTGTTCCCCAGCTCCACTCAGGCGTCGAAGAATCACAGAACCTAGGATCTTGGACACTATGTTCATCAGGCTGATTCCTCTGTGGTTATCACAAGAGGACTTCTTGTCTTTCTTGAAGACTGGGATAATCAGTGATTTAGACCAGTCAGAGGGGATCGTATATGATTCCCATATACTGGTTAGCACTTCCGTCAACCTGACTAACAGCACCTTACCACCATACTTGTATACCTCTGGAGTTAGTCCGTCTGGTCCTGCTGCCCTTCCTGGTGTCAGGTTACCTACTGCTTTCTCAACTCCTCCTAGTGTTGGGGGGCCTATCTGAATGTTCTATTCAGGATTCTTCTGGATAGCGGGCAACGCAATGGTGGATGGAGGCCAGTTAGACTGTTCGTCGAAGTGTGCTACCCATCGTTCCAGTCGTCTCTCCTGCGAGTGAATCTCAGACCCGTCCTTCTCCGCTACTGCTTCACTAACTGTTGTTGATCTTATCCCCACAGTTTTTTAATAAGTCTAAATAACTGTCTACTTTTACCAATCGCCGTTGCCTTTTCTATCTGTTTAGCCGTCACTGCCCATTACTGTTCGCGGTCATTGTGTAGACTTTTTCTCAATCTACTTTTAAGTTGTGCTCGCTCTTTATTGTACTCGTGGCCTGCGGGGATACGTTCACGTGCATCCATTAGTTCGGAAGAAGGTGCTGATATCCACTGACTCTTTTTAGTCACTATTTCGGAGTCGGCTATGGTTTTCAGCGCTGCTTTTACGGCAGACTGGAGATGGCACCAAGCTTCTTCTGGGTGAGTGGTAGTCTTCTATTCCGATAACTGTCCAGCCAACTTCTCACTGAACACGGCTTTAGTGTTTTCATTGTCCAGCAGTACTCGTGGTGGTTTTGTTGCTATTTTATTTTACGTCCATTGAGACGTAGACATATACGCGCTCGGACCAACGCGTGGCCACTATCCAAGCACGTACTCCAGAAGGAGCGGCAGTCTTCCACCGATCCTCTCCAGTGATGACTAATAGCAATGTGGTCTATCTGTGTCCATCGCTGGGTTGAGCTCGGTGGACGCCACGTCATACAGTGTCTTTTCTTATGTCTGAAATTTATGCTGGCTAAAAATAGGCGATTATCTGAGCACAGTTGAAGTAGGCGATCACCGTTATCTGTTCGTTCAACCGGGACTCCGAAAGTGCCACCTAAGTGCCTTTCTGCCTCACTCAGTCTACCCACCTGTGAGTTGAAATCACCAGCAACAACCACCACGTCCGAACGTTTGGCTTTCGAGAGGAGGTTAGACAGTTTACGGTAGAACTCGTCCTTCACTTTATCTGAACTACAGTCAGTAGGTGCAGAGGTTACAAAAAGACGACGGCGAGTTTCACTATTCTTTCTAGTTCTCACTCTACCGTTCAGTCGGATAGCGTAGAGGCGACTATCAACTGGGATCCAGTTTAGTAGTGAGTTTTCCACCCTAGTGCTTAATGCTATGCCTGCACCTGCAAGACCGTGAAAGCTAGCTATCGAATATCTAGAAACTGGGAGGGTGGATTTTGCGGATTCACCAGATTGGCCGGGGGATGTTAGGTGAATAACCACACTTGGGTCCTGTATGCGTGTCTGACAAGCACAGCACATATCCATGACCCGAGTCTTTGTCAACGAAGCTTATTGACCAATTTGATGGAGGGTGCGGGCATTGAGGGCACCAATATGTAATTTGGAGCGTGATTTAAGGAGACCAAGGATGCTGTTCTGTGAACTCAGATCGTTGTCAAAGGCTGCAGAACTAGGAGAAATTAAAGATGATGCAGTATTGTTAATTGGGAGACGTGAAGGAAGATTAGGAGGTAATGATGGGGGTGGTGGATAGCAGTCCTAGGGAACTTGAGTGCTGGTCGATTTGTGAGGGCGGTTGACACTTCCCGGCTGCCCACATCGTGGAAGGCTATTTCTTCTTGAAGTACCTGAAAGATATTGGTGTGACCGCAGAGCCCATCGGACATGTGCTTGAGGCCTGTCACACGTATCCTTTTGAGTGTGATTATTTTGAACTTTTGTATTTTTGGGGCCGGATGGTTGAAAGGAGATGATAAATGAACAGACAACGCCAGTGCGGCAGACCGTGGGGTATGGTGGTGTGTTATTTTTTGGGGCGACCTCTCCTAACGCATACCCCTTTCCACTGAGAAGGCAGCATCAGCATGGCACTGCTGGTAATTCAAGGGAAACACCTAACTGCTGTCACACCCCACCCAGCTAACAACAGTACGACTCCGCCTTCAGACCCCCATCGTAGCGTAGTAATTTGCACCACAACGGTAACTGCTTTTCGTCTAACCCCTATCCAACAGACCTTCTTGGTATGGTAGGACCTCGAGGGAACAAGTGTTCCACTAGCATAGCTCGTTGGGTCATTGTGATATGCAAGCCCGACCACCACGTCAAGGTAGCAGCTATCGGTCGGGAGATTGCTATTTATGGGCGTGTAACACCTCACTGCTGTTACACTCCTGTCTAGAAAGCAGTATGACTTTAGCCTCGGACCCCATCATTGTTAGAAATTTACACTGTAACAGTAACTGATTTTTGTCTTACCACTATCCTATGGACTTCTGTGGAATGATAGGACCTCAAGGAAACAAAGATTCCAGCCAATGTAGCTGGTTATGTGACCGCTATGTCAAGGTTTAAGTTATCGGTTGATAGATCTTAGAACACAAAAGCTTTGATTTCTCACACTATGTTTCATGATCTGACGGACGCATTTGATTCCATTGATCAAGAGATCTTATGGTAGTCTCACTCGAATGAATGCCTAGCAATTATATTACTTTTCTTAAAACTTTAAACTAAGGCACTCGTGTTCGTTAAGGTCTCCTGGTGTTACCGAATAAGATGTTTGGATCCAGTTGTCACACGTCGTTGGTATTTACGCATCCCATTTTATCTGAATTTTTCATGAACACGTTTATGGAGGTTTTTCTGTCCTGATCGATCTTGTCATCGGTTGTTCTCTAGTTGACCTGAAGAACGTTGACGATATAGTTTTGTTCAGTGATGGGGTCAGTAAGATTCTGGGCCTACTGAATACTTTGAGTGAAAATTTGTAAATATTTTCATGCTCTTTTCACCTTCACAATAGAAACTATTACATCAGGATTCGTTTCCTCTGAAAACTTGTCTGACAATTTAGAGTGAATTAACTGAACGCGTTGATCACTCCGCTTACATTGGAAGTCAGGCTTACCCCGATGGTTTGTTAGTCGACAAAATCTCCTCACAGATGAAAAACATTCGTATACCTTTTCTCAAATTGCGACATTTTTATCACCGTTAACTTATTCGGCTGAATACTACGGATCTTGTTGATATTGGTTCTATCTCTTTGGGAATATTCGTTTGGTTCCCTTTAGTTCACCAGTGATTCAGAATTATTTAAGCTTTGATACATTATTACTATTAACCCTTCGTAATCAAACTAGGTGAAAGAAATCAGCATTTCATACAGTAAGTTCGCATCGATAGAATTATCTGGCCTAGTGATGTAAACACTATAACCAAATATCATAACTAAAAAAACACAAGGCTATTATCGTTTTAATTCAAAGCTATACATTTATTTGATTGTTACGAAATCATTTTACTTTGTATAGCATATTTTCGTATTTGTCTTTATACCTTTTTCAACGTTAATTATCGTTAAATTTATTGTATCTACTGCATAAAAATTTCAGTATAGAAAATTTCTTCGCAGTGGTTTCACTTTAAACATTATACAATAGTATTTATATACCAATTTGTAATGACAATTAAATTTTTGTCTGTTTGCCGACACGTTAGTTTTTTAGTGGAATTCACAAAGTACAATTAGTCTTTAATTCTCTTAGAAACCAGTGAATTATAAAAGCGGCTATCAATAAATAGGCTAAAGTGTAAAACAAACAGATGAGTACTATCTGAATGTAGTATGGCTTTTTCAAAGTAGTGAAATTTCTATATTGCAAATTGAGAAATGTGAATATGCATCAACTCAAACGATAACATGCGGAAGGCAGTGGAGAGGAAGTGAACTCTATATGAACAGTACAATGTAGCAAACTGAGGCAGCAGGAAATGAGGGATTGAAATACATTCAGCAACTATCTACACTTTTGTGCAGCAAACAATAAGCCATATCTTTTATGATGGCTGATTTATTACCTAGAAACTAAAGGTTTTGGAAGATGAGGTAGTGTTCAAATCTCTTACCCACCCGTTGAAAATCAAGTACTTAGACCAATGAATCACAGCTCTGCAAACACGGGTGTGCTTTTACAGTGTATATAGTAGTTAAGGTTTCACTTGATGCAAAGCTAATACAAGTGTGTTTACTTGTTAGTTGACACATTAGGTTCAGTTTCGTGAATATTATCATACGACGAATGTGAGCCTATGTACATGTAGTTAGTTATTAACTTATACCACGATATATGAGTAAATACTTTTACTTGATTCATAGTGGAATATGTTCTTCAAGGGTTTTCGCCACTGAAATCATTGTTTTTTGAAAATTGTCTTATCAACTAGTTTGCTTCACCTTTCTTTTTTTCTCCATTCAAAAAAATTGTTACAGGATCGACCTAGTGACCTAATAAAATATCATGATAATGGGATAAATCTTCATGAAAGATTGTATAAATTTCTGATTGAATTCGCCAAACTACAGAATGAAGCATTTATTGCACAAAAGTAGGTTTGTTTATTTATCATAATGCTAACTAACTTTCATCTCTATTTTATTTTTAGACGATTATGTGAGAAACATTTAAATGATGCACAAAAGTATTTTGGTGTCTCCAATAGTTATGTTGCATTTTTCAATGAATTTGTACAAATTGTTCAGCATATTATAGATGCTGAAAATTTAATCTCATGCTCTTTTGAAATACACGCTAGTAGTGAAGGAAAAACAGTTATTGAAGATGAACGTAGACAGTTTAAACGATGGAAAAGTGAAAGGTAATATTTTTATTTCTCCTTTTTTGTGTTTATTATTCATATATCGATCATAAAAATCATTAATATTATTCAAAGCTTATCAATATGCATGTATATATATGTATATATTGTATAGGTCGAAACTGTCTTCTGAATTGAAAGCCCAAACACGTATTATTGATGATGAAATAAAACGCTACCGTGATAAATATCGTGATATGATAAAGGCAAAAGAAGATTATGAACGTATTAATGCTGATCAGAGTCATTCGCAATTCGATGTAGAAAAGGTAAGTTACAAAAATAGTTGAATTTAATATTTAAAAAGATTTTGAGGGAGTTGTGGAGATTTGGAATTATTTCAAGTTGTTATTCATCGTAGACTGACATCAGTTGCAGGAATAAAGGAAACCTGGGAGCACTGGACAGCTGTTTCGTCCTAGTATGGGACTCCTCAGCAGTGCGCACCCACGACCCCACACCAGCAGGGATGGAACCCGCGACCTTCAGGTTCCGTGGCCAGCGCGTTACCATTGAGCCACTGGGTCGGAATCCAATGCTCCATATTTCCAACTTTTGTTAGCTCAATGGTAACGCGCTGGTCGCGGAACCTGAAGGTCGCGGGTTCGATCCCTGCTGGTGGGGTCGTGGGTGCGCACTGCTGAGGAGTCCCATACTAGGACGAAACAGCTGTCCAGTGCTCCCAGGTTTCCTTTGTTCCTCCAACTGATGTCAGACTACGATGAATAACAACTTGATTTAAAAAGATTGTTTTTCAAGGTTTACATTTCATTTAAATCCAGTTGTTTCACTTGCATCATAGAGTAGTCATAAATGATGGTGTTACTCTGTGGTTTCGAAGCATGACTTTAGACCGCTGCGTCAAGCCTTCGAACCTTGTTTCATCAGTCAGCATTTAGGTATCCAGGTAATATCTTAAGCATTGTAGTTAGTGTTTATAGTTTACATCTGCAAACAGAGGTTGGGCAATTCGACTATATATAGCAACAAAAAATTATAAATATCCAATCAGCAATTGATGTCTGTTGCACAAGTAGTGGATATAGTGCCCAACGACCTAGTGGACAACGCTTTAGCGTTCGGAGCAATGAGTACTGCGTTCGAGTCTCAGTGGGAACAACATCAGGTACACCTAACTGATGAGTCGTGAGTAGGACGAAGCACAGGTCCCAGACATCACTACTAGTCACCAAGATGAATTCGGAGTACGTTTAGCACGCATTTTACACCGATCTTTTGCAAGATGATGGCGTAGAAGTGATCTACACTGTCACCTAGCTGAAAAAAATAGACAATGAATTGGTTGAGTATATTGACCTGTTCATTTGTTATGGTTTCATTAACCATATTAACTTGGCTGACTTATCTCAACAATTTTCTACCTCTCTACGTTTTATCTTTGTGTACTGCTACAAAGAATCGTATCTAGAGTCTTCTCACTATCGTACGTTATTCGCATATCTGTTGGAGTAGTGGTGAATATAAAACATTGAAAAGAATTAATCCACAGTGAGTATAAACAAAGTATGTCACCTTGTATCTTACTGAAGCTTGTATGTTGCAAGGTACTGTTTCTTTTTACACAGCTCACCCCATTCCACTAAGTTGAACTTTATTGTGATTATACTGATAGTATGATAGTATACCTGCTGGTCATCTCTCATTTGGATTGTTTTATAATGATTAAATTTCAGGTGGAAGTTTTCACAATTGAGTTTGTAATGATATTTGTTAGTGTGAGTGAACAATCGGTGAATACAGCATTTATACGAACCTATTCCACTTAGTCAAGGAATGGTTGGACCTTTTCTGTGTTGAATTTTCATTATTGAAGACCTGTTTTTTGAATGATTGATTCGTTTGTCTAGATCAGATCAGTAGTTGCAATTTATTTCCATATGATTGATTAGTCTTATCGACTTCATTGGATAGGTGTGTCTTTGATTATTTGTAATGGCATGATTGTCAAGATATCTATGGATAGGCTAATTCTCGTCTGTCGGTCTAGACGAGTTCAGTCTTATATTTCCTCTCCTGGGTCACTTAATTAGAACGACTTAAAAAAATGCTCGTAGAACTAGATATCGCAATTCATGGTTGTTATTTTTGTTTAATAATTGCAATTGTGTTGCGCCTAAATGGTTGTATAGTCTATGTTCATCAAGTTACTTTTAATGCCTGCTGCTGCCTTATTTTTCCATCTACATCTTATCTTCACATCTCTATTCAAGGTGGGAATTCGCATCTCTCACACCTAACTTATTTCACCACGAAAACTGAAACTTATAAGCATTTTGGTCCAGTACGTGTTATCGACGTAATCCTTTTACAATAAAATCAGAATTTCAAGTTGGTAACCGTCATGGACTGACACCAGTTGGAAAACTATTAAAAACTCGGGAGCACTGGACAGCTGTTTCGTCTTAGTATGAAACTCCTCGATAGTACGCACCTATGACCTCGACAGGGACCGAACCCAGAACCTTCGGGTTCCGCGGCCACCACGTTACCATGGATCCACTGGGTCTTTATATCGCGAAGTGGAAGAAGGAAAAAATATGGACCATTGAGTTCTGACCCAGTGAATCTATAGTAACGTGGTGGCTGCGGAATCTGGGTTCGATCCCTGACGGGGTCATGGGTGCGCACTGCCGAGGAGTCCCATACAAGGACAAAACAGCTGTCCGGTGATCCCGGGTTTCCAATGTTTCTCCAACTGATGTCATTTCATAATGAATACCAACCTGAAATCGACAAATTCCTACAAACACCCAAATTCTCTTTATAATCTTTTTATGTTATTCAAGCTAAGGTTAATTTTATCTTTGACCTAGTTTTCCCTTGCGTTTGTTGGTTTTTGTTAAAGAAATCTCTGATCATCGTCATTACTCATCAACAATTACTACTAATGTAATAATAGTGATAACAATTATAGTAATAATAATATAGGTGTGGAATTTAACTGGGTAAAGATGGTAGAGAAATCGAAGGCATACTAAAGAGCAAACTAGGTATTATTATTGTTATTATTTATATCTGGGTGTCTGGAATATCCCGCCTTATTTTTTCATCCCTGATGTGATGTTCCTTTCAAAAACATGTTTGTGTTGATGCATGCAAATATGAATAGTCAATGCATAATTATAGTGATTCATCTTTTCTCTCTGACTAACCTGTTTAGTAGTTAGCGTCATCAGAATGATAATAACTAACCCTTCACTGGTATTTGACCTCACATGTTTTTTTGCGTGCATGCTTCTTGTGTTCTTCGAAAATATACTTTCCAGTAGAATATTCAAAGTAGTATAGATTGTTGTTCGATACTTGTAATCTCCCGCTGTTATACTAAGTCGAATTGCTCGACCTCTGTTTTCAGACGGTCTCCTCTACGGATGCTTCGGTGCTGTCTGGTTACTCATTGTATTAGTTTCTGCCTGGCGGTTAGCAGTGGAATCCAGCACGTGTGTTTCGTCTTGTTTGGGACTCGAACCCAATACCCATCGCTTCAAGCGTCCTAGTGCTCTAGTAGCCTAGTGGATAGCGTTTCGGCGTTCGAAGCAATGGGTATTGGGTTCGAGTCCCAGTGAGAACATCACTAACTTGGTTGCAGGCACATCCAACTGACGATTCCCAAACAGGACGAAACGCGCGTTCTGGATCCCATTGCTAGCTACCAAGCAAACGTCAACATAGTATAGATTATTTCGTTATTATTACTGTTATTCGGCTGAAAAATTAATGGAGTAATTTTTAAACATGACTTTTTCCAGGAATTGATATCTGCTTAGAGAGCTGTTCAACAACTCGCGAGCGGGGGCATGGTCATGTCATCCGAGTTTTTAGTTGCTTACTGATGTAAATCAACAGTTTAATTATGGGTGGAACCTACAACCTGCATATTGCTATAGTTCAACCATTGGATCAGCATCCACTGTGCTCTGTTAAACTAGTTTCACTTATACTTCAGTCAACAACGATTATATTCAACAGTCAAGTGAATACGCGATATGTAATATCTCGTTCATTATAGTCATACTAGCTATCCAACCAATTCCTCTTGTCTCAATCCAAGTCGAGTAGAATCAGAAGGGAGGAGCAATTGACTAGACTATCTTAGACAGTCTTGGTTTGACAGATTGGAGTGAATGTAGGATCTAGTTAGTAGCTGCATTTCGCAATTCAGTAGATAGAAGGCTAGGCCTATAATATGGTAATGGATGCTTCGAATCCAACTTTAGTCAAACCTGCTAAGTCAAAACATGTTGATGACTCGAAAATACTAAAAATACTAGACCACTGATCATTTCGAATATCATCACTGTTATGGTAAAGGTTGTGTCTTTTGGAAAAATGATGACAGTGCGAATCTGATTGAAAGTTCTGATGTTATAGCTTGTGTGAACAACATCATTCACTAGGAGAGTAAGTACATCCAACTGACGAGTCCTAAATGGGACCGAATGCGTGTTCTGGATTCCACTGCTAGGCAACATTCATTATTAGTTAAGAGATCGCTTACATGCAGCGTCCAATTTTAGCCAGTTAAAAAAGAGAAGAAAGAATTAGTCAATGAAAGATGAACAACAGTAAAGTTATAAAAACTAACAGCTAAATGTCTGAGACTTGTATATGACTGTAGATCTTTTGATTAGACCACCTTATATACCATATTTTACTTCAACATCTATCAACTGTTTCATTTTTGGTTTCCATACATTGCACTTTTTTTTCTGATGTTTAACAGCTTACACTGACAAGTTGCCTTTCATTCTAGCTAATCATTATTCAGTTAGAACTGATGTTATTTCTTCCAGTTACATTTAAGCGTCTCAGTTTTACTCATTCAAGTTAAATCCTATCAATTGTAATAAGTCTGTAAGTATGTGATTATGACCAATGATAATTTATGCTCAAAATGTCCTCATCCAGTGAATAATACTATATCACTATGTTTTATAAATCAAATAAACAATCCTAATATGGAATTAAATTCTACCTTAGTGCTCATGTTTTACACTTATATTAAAGAAATAACTACTGTCAACTCTCAATTCAGTAGTAAGTAACTTGTGAGTTGATCAACTACTCACCTATTTCTTATTTTCATTGATTACTTTAGTTAGTCAATGAAATAATTCTATGGGTTAAAGTTAATTATTGGTTTCATTTGGTGAAATTTAAAACCATTTGGCTTGTTTTGCATTAACACTGTCTAGTGAATTGCTTATCGTGGTTATTATTATTATTATTATTAATACTTCCAGTACTAAATTCGACCTACATTTCTTGATGATATGGCGGGGGACTGAATTGAGTCAGATGAACTTGTCTTGTCTTATGATGAATCTTTAGGTAGGTTATTAGGTGGAGGGAGGGGTTAAACGTTCTATGTTATACTATCTGCATGTGTTCTTTATATGTTGTGGTCAGAAGAAAACTAGAGTTTCCAGATTTTTTGATCCTTGTTTTTGTTGTTGTTGTTTGTATTGTCCCATCGTTGAGTAGATCGAATTGATCAGTCTCTATTAGCATATAGGCTCCTGCGCGGATGCCTCGATATTACTTGTGTTTCAGATTTATATTAATGATGGGTAATGGCTAACAGTGGGATCCAGGATGCGCGTTTTGTTCTATTTCTGACTCATTAGCTGGTTATACCTGCCTCCCAGTGAGTGGTGTTGTTCCCACTGGGACTCGAACCTCGTAACCATCGCTAGCCGCAAATTACCATAATTAATATTCTGACAATATCGAGGCTTCCGCATTGGAACCCATATGTCAATAGAGGTCGAATAACCCAATCCAATAAAACAACGGAGAATTACAAGTATATCAATAAATGGTAATAACCTATTATTTGTTAATATTTTTATAGTTATTTTCAAACAAGTATTGAGGAGAATAATATTGGTTTTATGATAGTATTTAACACAGACTGATATCACTTGGAGAGCCATTGAAAACCGGGAAGCGCTGGACAGCTATTTTGTCTTCAGCAGTATGCATTCATGACTCCGCCAGGGATCGAATTCAGCGCCTTCAATTCTCACAGCAAACGCACTAACCATCCAGTCACTAGGTCAGAGTTCAATGGCCCACAGTTTTCTACTTCTATCAAACCTCAAACATACATGATAGCAAGATAGAATAACCAATATAAATCTAAACATATGTAGGACATTCAAACACGAATTGAATCTCTGTCATGCATAGGAAATGTTATGACTGGTTTTGATGCGTGTCACTTGAAGTTTTCAACCTGTTTTCAATCACCCCCGTTTCTTTAGACACTTTGTATACCAACAGTTCGTCTTGGCCAGACTGATGAACATGAAAGATTGAACATAAGCACATCAGTTCAAATCTCTTTACTTCAAAACCCCACAGAAAGAGGAAGTGAGAAATAATAGAATGACACTTAAATTCACAGAAATTGGTATGAAGGAAGAGAGTGATTAAATGAGAATTGGTGAAAGTGTTCAAAAATTTTTAAATGGTAAAGACTTAATCGACTTATACCTGTGTAACTAGTTTCATGCTGCATCAACAAAAGTTTTGAACCATCGGTTCTCTAAACCAAGTGGTGCATACTTCACTGTACAACTCAGAAACTTCATGAATTGGTTCCATATTTTGCTAATTCTAATTACTCTTTCAACTCAATCCTACTACAGTTAACTTTGAGTATTGGAGCAGACTATAGTCTAATATGCACAATTTATTCTTCAGTCACCTCAGCTAGTGCTTATTAAGAATGTCATAAGTCAACTTACCTCTTCTTCCTGAGGCTGTACACCTAATCGGAACATTACTCATTCTGGTTACCCTACCCTCAAACAATACTTTCAACGGTCATATCTCATAACCGAAGTGTAGAAAGCATCAAGCTACACTCATTCTTTGGTAAGTAGTCGAATACCTCACTGACATCAGATATGGTGTAATTTGGTGAATGCCAAGTTGGTGATACTGAGGTTTCGTCAGCTGTCTTGAATTTACCACCATGGGGCTTTTGCTATTATACTCTTATTCCAGTTAACAAAACACGTTGTTAAGGTGAAACATGTAGTACATTTCGTGGTTGTCTAAGTTGATAAGAGTTCAGAACTGGAAATAATTTTTCCTTATTTATCTATTACTTTACACTCGGTAATGATTATTCTGTAGTACGTCAAAAACACCATTGACTAGAGATCTTCACTTTCTTACGCTACCTTATTTTAGACATTTATGCATTCTTTAAAGGTAGTAGGGCCAAATTTTATCAATTACGTTAAATTGTAAATGTCAGCTTTTTTGCATTTTGGTGAATGTATTGCATTTTTTAGATTAAAAAGTCATACAACAATAACGCCTAATATGTTGCTACTCGGTAACAATTTGCACCTCCACTCTACTGATTCATAGTTCCATATTGTACATAAACACTTACTTAAAAATGACTTAAGATGTTATGTTTACACTCTCATTTTGAAGGTTCATGAAAAATTGAATAATTTCATGAGAGGGATTTCTCCACAAATCGGCATCAGCCAGGGAAGCATTTGAGATCTGAGAGCAAACTTGACGGCTGCCTAGTCTTGGTTTTGGACCCCTCCCCCCCCCCCCCCCCCCCAGATAGTACACACTCACAAACCCGTTTGGGATCGAACCCAAGTCTTGTGGGGTAGCACATTACTATCCAACCACTGGGTTCGAATCCAGTGGCTCACATTTACCAGCCTTCGTGATATAACGAGACCATCATCTCGTCCAGTTAGCAAATATTTATCCTCATATCCAACTTCTATGACCCCATTGGTCATAACTTCTTATCTCGAAGCAAACCAGCAGCAAGCAAGTGATTGGTATTCACTTTTGAAGTTTTGTGAAGAAGTGATTAATTTTGAAAAGATGATTAACTGAATTTTTACACTGATATTATCAAACCAACACAATTATTCTATGCTTCTTTCACTTTCTTTTAGGCTTTAAGTTCTGCACGTTTAAAAGAAATTGATTTTGACCGATCACGTAATGATTATTCAGCTGCATTAGATCAATTTAATTTATATCGTAAAGATTATTATTTACGTTGTCTACCATTATGGGCACAAGTTGGTAAAGGGTTAGAACATGAACGATATACGCGTACACAATCATTAATCAGTATACTACACGAACGACTACGTGTAGCAATTGATCGTATGACTACTGTATGCGAAGAATTTCAGTCAGTATCTACTCATCTGAACTCAGATCAAGTAGGTATAAATATTTTACTAATATTATTATTATTATTAACTACTATTGCTTCGATTTAAAAAAAGTAATTTATGAATATTATTTTTATCTAAAGTTGTGCAGTAAACTATCGTGGCATACATAGGTGAGGCAAAACGCTCACATTGAATAGTATTGTGTTTTATTTCATTATTCTTTTTCATGAACTGTCATCTGTTGTTACAGCGTTTCCTCTTTTAAAATTATTTTCTTTTCCATCACACTTAAATTTTGCATAATTGTAGCCTATGCAAAATACTGATTTACGCTTACAATCGAATGGGTGCGCACTGCTGAAGAGTCCCATACTAGGACGAAACAGCTGTCCAGTGCTCCCAGGTTTCCTTTGTTCCTCCAACTGATGTCAGACTACGATGAATAACAACTCGAATGATTTTTGTTGCTTTTGTTTCTATCATGAATTGAATGAATTCAAGAGAACTGGAGTATCATATTTGTAGGTCCTTTAGTGGTATAGTTTACTTCGTGGTTGTAAACTGTTTTCAAAATAATCGATTCTCTAAAACTTGTTAGATATTGACTGAATTATTCTTTCTTCTAGATCCGTCTCTTTGCGTTCAGACTAATCATCATACTGATAATTTTAAGTACACATACATGCATACACAAACTAGGCAATCGATATAACCAGGTTAAATTTTGCTCACTGGTGTGTGGAGTTAACAGATTGATAACGCTGTTTGCAAACAAGAGCATGTATACCTAATACAGATATGTACATGCGTGTGTGTGTGTACATGAACGTGTGTTGACCAGTTATTGTAGTTTTATGATTGATTGTGTGAAGAATTGCTTATATCATTCAATCAGTGCTGTTGGCCTCACTAGTCTGTGCATGAATTACGTGCTTTTAACCATAAGTTATAATATCAATTAAACCCTTGTATAATTATAGAGATATGGTGAACTGTTGTTCTTTCCTAATCTACTACTCGTCAGCACAATATTGGTTAGCAGAAATGCACATTAGGTTCTAAATTGTTCGATGGGACTTATTTCTTCTGACTGTCAGTTTCAACCTCAACAGATTAGTGTAGATCTTGAGTTGAGTCTTCACAGACATGCAAGTAACTATGACTCGCATAAGTGACTAAATGCCTCGCCGTAGTAACGTGCCACAGGGTTAATGTGAGGAAGCTCTACGCGGTTCGGTTAAGTGGTGTGGGTGTTCCAGCTGTTGGTTAGGAAAACTGTAGATGGCACGTGCACCGGTGATTACTGGTCGAACCTATTTACGCAGCGACTGTGAGCGTCCTTGCAGCCCCGCCGGATTTGAACCAAAATGCCGTCATAGTTGACTTAGCAGGAGTAGCGGTCGATTAGATTCATGTGCTCTGATCTCCAAAATACGGATGGGCCAACTGACGTTCAGGATTCCACCCAGTGCTCTGGGAGCAGTGCAGTCGAAAGGTATGGGAATCCAGCTCCCTAATTCTGGTAGTCACTGTTGTTGAAGTAGCTTCAAGAGAGGTAGTGTAACCAGCCTTGTGTAGGGAAAAGGTATTCAATCCGGAATGCTGGATATCAATTTGCTGTACCCTGGGAGCAGCCTCTATGTCCGAAATGTTGATGTCAGTCCGTGTTTGAATACTAACTTGAAGTAAATAAAATCCCTATCAACCTCAAAATACAATGAGATTAACATGGTAATAACAGATTTTCAACATAGAAACAAACGAATGAACGTTATACTTCATAATATGTATGGAGTAGGTCATAAAAAGGGCTTACATTTGTTAATTCAGTTTTACCTGTTCTACGCTTATTTCCCAATATACAAGGTTACTTTGGTGTTCTAACTTAAAAGTATGTCTCTCATTTTATCCAGCGCTAAATCTGTATTTATCCCAGTATGTTTACAGCTGAAGGGAGGCCAAAAAATAGGTTAATTTAAGCAATATATTCTACAAATCTTGTTCTTCTTACTTTGATGAATGTGTTCTAACCGAATGAGTTCCAAAAGAAGAAAACCAGCTTGAAAAGGAAAATAACCAGTACACTTAGGTTAAAAAATAGAGTTGTTAGGGCAATCAATCCTATATTAATCAATATCTCTATCTTGGATACATAGGTCAATTAAAAATTGTTGGATAGCCATTATATTGATCCAACGAAGTCTAGTTTGTTCTGAGGTCAATGAAAGAAATGAACAACGTGTCTTGAGTTAATTAATTAATGTCTAATCTCTCTGGTAAATAGATAGAAATTTCTGAACCTTAGGAATGTGATTCATTCTCTCATCATTTCAATTGGATTTGTATAATATCTAAAGGTCTTTGATGGGCTGAGATCATTGTATAGGTTTTATGGTGACAAGATAATCAGAACTGATATTTACTGACTCAATACAATGAGTAAGTTTTGAGTACATGCTAGTTGGATGGAGGCAGTCAGCAAGAAGTCCTGGACCTAACTTTCATGCTTGTTGGCACTCGTCAGCAAGGCGTAACTGCAACCCTGATGCAACTGATATCCCGCCTTATATTCGAACCCCTGTCACCCAGTTTTGTAGTCAGCGACGTTACCACTAAGTTATTCGAGCCGTGACTGACCTCCTATAAGACTGGATTAGACACATTGATTGGTCACTGGAGGGAAACCAATTTCATGTTGTCTACTCCCAAGTGCTAACCGAATTCTGCTGATCATTTTGCAATGTGGCCATCACACTAAGCAGCTCAGCATCCCTATGCACTTTGATAGATGTTACTTTGGAAAACACTAACTGAACGAATATCGATAGATAAAATTACCGGGGAATTATGCAATTTAGTTATACCTGGGTCTGCTGTAATCAAATAAACTGTCGCTTACATACACACACATACCGTGAGCGACTTAAAGTGATTACGAAGTACACTTCAGCATAGTTGAAAGGTCAACCGGCATTAAATTCTTTGGAATATAAGAAGAGTTAAATTTCTGTTGCTATTTCAATTTGGTATTTTGAAAGGGATATTTTCATTTGAGAACTTAATCCGATTCGTAAAAAAGTTTGAAGGTATCCTAACCAACAATGGACTGGATGGTTTGACGACACCTTCATCATAACCAAAAAATAAGGTCTAGAAAATCTTTTTGAATATCTTAACAGCCGTTTTAATTCTATAAAATTCACATATGAACTAGAAACAGAATTCGGAATGTTAGCTTTCCTAGTCTGCAAGGCGATACGAAACAATGATGGGACACTTGACACTGATGTCTGTCGAAAAGATACACATTCTAACAAATACATTGACTTCGATTCGGCTCATCCATTGAAACTAAGTTAAACGTTGCTGAAAATATGTTGATGAGATCACAAAAGATACCAAATAAAGTGGAATCTCAGCAAGCAGATAGGCAACTTGCTCGGGAAGTCTTAAAACAAAACAACTATCCAGAAAGCTATTAAAAAGGATAGGAAAAGGTTTATCGAATAAAGATACTGAAAATTGAAGCCATAAAGATTGGATAAGTACTATAGTACTTCCTTATCAAGCATCCACATCAGAGAAAATAAGATGTATCCTTAATAGTTACATCACAGTATTCTTTAAGATGACGAACACATTATACTCCCACCTGTGTAAATTAAAATATCCGATTCCTCACTTGGAGCAACAGAACTGTGTTTACAAGGCAGACTGTAGTGAATGCTATGCCACATACATTGGAGAGACGTCACATCAAGTTCTAACACGTTTAGTCGAACACGGTTGAAGTTGCAAGAAACCACCAAAAAATTCCTATGATCTGGAGAAACTTGAAGGAAGCTCTGCCATTGCGGCTCATGCCTTATGTTCAGGTCATAAAATATCATTTGAAAAGACAAAATTTCTGCAAAAGGGTTTTCTTTCTCGCAAAGAGCAGGGCATTGCAGAGGCTTTGCACATCGGTTCCTGCCCTTCTTCGATCAACAGAAAAGATGAGTTAGACATCCCACAAATATGGCAAACACTAATAACTCGCATAGGTAGTTGTAAATAATATACGAAAAGAAGGTAGAACACGATTTCATTCCACATGATTTATTCCGAATTTACTCTTGCTTGAATAGTTCCCGGTGTTGTTTCGTTTAATCGTCTCAATCACGTCAAAAAATATTGATTGCATTTTAACAGCTTGTCTAGTCCTACTACATAACACTTTATTGATCTACTATTTTCGTCAATTTTACGCTCGTTTCTGATTTATATACATTCCATGAACCATTCCATGTATTGCATAATCCATTTTGTTATCATTCATACTTCATGTTATCAAAAGTACCTTTATTGTTATCATTAGTTTTACTTATTTATTGATTATATATTGTCTGGTATTCAGATATTCATCTTTCCAAACTAGTAATTTATTCTTTCTCACCCTTGAAGACTCACAGCCCCATTGTACTTTTCATAAACGAACTAAATTTCCCTACCCTATTTTTGTTCCACCCTAGTCACACAATTGCAAAAAGCCTCTCTGACCGATTTGCTCATTCACTCACTCGGTGGTCGCTGGTTCGAATCCGGCCGCGGTCTAGAGTTTCATCTCACCTTCAGTCATCACCCAGTATAAACACCTGTATTACATTGATCTTTTCTTCATATCACGACGTAATTGGATGATTGTGAAGGTCACCACCTTCTGTACCAAAACTTGAATATTAATCTGAAAACCTAATATTAGATTCTTACTCTTGAAAAGGATCTTCATAGCATAATTGAAACGTTGAGGAGTCATATATAAAATATTTGTTTATTTTGTTATTTGTTCTGATATACTACACCGGGATTCAACAAGTAAAAATACACTTTGTACGATGGATATTTTCATGTTATTGGTTGTGTAATATGCCCAATGCTTCTAAAACTAAAGTTATTGTCTGTAATTTTAGGATTCTGAAGAAATTATCAGTGCTCTGCGTAGTAACAATCCACCTCCTGGTGATATTGCTTTTGTGGATTTATCTTCTACCTCACTGTCATCTACACCGCAAACTGCACCAGTAAACAATACAAAACAAGGTGTTGGTGGTGGTGGTTTAACTGAACCTATTTACTCAACAGGTAGTGTAGTCCTACCGCCGAATTTCCACTGTTCTGTTTGGGCAGCAGATCATGCAGCGATGGAGACAAGCAGACAGTATCATCCTCAGGGAGAAGTAATCTATTCTGAATCCGGTTCCATACACTCTGCCTCGTATGCATCGACAACAGTGTCAACAAATGGTCCAGTCAGTGGTAATACTAGCCGGCGTCCTAGTGTATGTGATAGTCTGACTACTGCAAGTTTTCGTCATCCTAGTCAACAATTCTATTCTTCTAATGGTGCAGGATTTCTTCGTAGGATTTTTTCACGACGTAGTAGGGTAAGATTTTGTAACTGTAACAATTGTACTTATAACGAGTGACTACAGTCATATGCAGTGGAGTTTAATTTATTTTTAACTGGAGAATGGTGACATTTTTTTGTCAATATCACTCATTTCACTTTCAGTAGAAGGTGGCATAAATTTCAAGAAGGCATAAATAAATAACCATATCATTGTTAGTCTGTGTATATTTTATTCCAGGAAGTGATTTTATATGTATCTGTGTAATTCAACTTTGGAATTTCTTATTTCAAACATACTGAGATTCGTCGAAATATAACCTATATCTCTAATGTCAACTTTTCACTCGGAGCCCAACATTTCTGGAACTATCCGGTCAAATCTTGACCAGGATTCACATAAATTACAGTGTATACTGTGAGAATATATTTATAACACCGAGTTTGTAAAGTTTTGGTTAGTGTGTAAGAGAAAACCTCCAGTAAACTTCTCGAATCTCATGTGCAGTAACTTTTCCCCCTGTTAACTTTCTGTAAATTTTAATCTAGGTGTTGTTTTATGGACTGTGTATCATATATGGTTGACAGACTTAACATCATACTTCAATGGAGTTGAGTAGGTTTGAAAGATATGAACTAGTGACTGTTCAATTAACGGTCACTTATTATTTCAACTTTTTGAATTGAAATTCTGATGTCAGAGGTTGGAAGTCAATCAGTAGGGAGCTGTAGACCCTATTTTTCGTGCTTGTTAGGACTCATCAACAAGGAGCCAGTACCATCAGTTGGAAACTAGTGCTCCATCGGCGATTAGAACTTGCATCACTCAGTGCTTAAGTCAGATACTTTACCACTAAGTCATTCACAGTGTTGCATCACTTGGCTTAGTCGCCGTACTGTAAAACTGATCGATAGACTTTGATCACCATTGAGTACCCATACTAAAATCCACTTTCTATTTGTATTAAGGGAGCAGATAGCTTGGTGAAATTCGCATACATGTAAATCGTTTGACATCGGTTCGCACTCAGACTTGGTGATAATAATTTAATTCAAACCTTATGTTGAATATTGAATGCCATCAATCATCTGGCAGACCGTGAAACCGGTCAGTAATCTTATAGCAGTGTTAAGCCGACCTCGATCCAAATGTTGTTAGAAATGTCACTTATCATGTTTTTTATTCTTTACCTCCCCCTTCTAGAGCCAAGGTCATGACTGAAAGGTTTATGACACTCTTTTGGTTGGATTCCGTTTAAATCTCTCTTTTTAGCAGGCGTACTACTGATGTTATTGGTTAAGTTAAATGATATGCGTGATTTTACGAGGTCGAACTGGTAACTGCATATATCGCTGCATTTACTTGTAGTTTCCGGCGCTTTTGAGTTAGCAACTGAAGTCAACATTAGACGACATATTCGTAACCCTTTTACAGGTAAATAACTTATTAGTTATTATGAAATACACATATCCAACAAAGTCATTCGAGCTACATAGAATAATGGATACGTGAAATGATGGGGGAGATTTATAGCTCAGGATGAGGATGATGTTAGTTTAGTGTTTGTTGTGGACCTCATGAATAGGCGCTAGGGTTATCACCAAGCCTAATGATGAGAAGTCCATAACAAGGTATACATTCTGAAAGAACACTGAACCACTAACTAGGAGGGATAGAGTTTAAAGTTAAAACTGAAAACTGCTTTTCACCAATAAGACATGAACACAAAAACTAACGGCTCTAAAGAATGCTTATAAAAGTGGTTCTTACAAAAAAGCAAACAACAACGATAAAATGGCTTTTGAATAAATTGTCTTTCCAAATGAGAATACAATAATTTACTCTTATATACTAGACTGAAAATTTACATATTCCTTTCTTTCGTATAAAACTATAACAAAAGGCAAATTCTTCTCACGTTCTTCCTCACTTTTATTCAATATACCGTGTTTTTTTGTCATCATCGTCTGCATAATGTTGCAATTCTTTGCATAATATTTCTGTTCAAGGAAATGCGATGATCAGTTAAAATAGTTTGAGTCTTATTAATCGTCGATTAGATTATCTTGGTGACCTTACCTCTACATTTTTAATGGTGTTCTTCTTCCTCTTTCCGTCGTCGTCACCTCTTTCACACCCTTATTATTACTACTCACAAACGGACTTTATTTATCTACTCCCTTCATCCTTCAGTATTACGTAACCTTACTGTCCTTTTCCAAGTTCTGATCTACACTGATGTTAATGATGGACAGTGTCTAATAGTGGAATCCAGTATGCACGTTTCGTCCTATTCGGGACTCATCACCTGGACGTACCTGCCTCCCAGTGAGTGTTGTTTTTTCCCACCAAGACCCGACCCCAGGAGCAATCGCTTCAAAAGCCAGAGCGTAATCCAGTAGACCATTGAGTTATCGTTGTTAGCAAGAAGTTGAAAATACGGGCAATATCGAGGCATCCGCATAAGAGCCAATATGCCAATAGTGACTGATCAATTCGGTTCAGTCAATGATGAAGATTTACAACCTATAATATCAAAACTGACCTATTTCGCCTATCTAAACACCTGTTTATACTGTCATGCCATTCTCAACATTTATATTATTCTTTTATACCACCACTATTTTTATTATTCTAACGTGCATAGTCTGCATCCTTGGTGTCATTAAATGACAAATTACTTTGATTGGTTCATATATATATATATATATATATATATATATATATATATATATATATATATATATATATATATTCTACTTGGGCTTTAATTACCCTGTGATGTTTCCGAACGTTTAGTCGATCTTCACACAGTAATTCTTCATCTATGTATAGCAGATAGGTAAGGTTCATCTAACATTCGGTAAGGTTAGATTCAATCTACAGGTGTTTTCTGTCATGTTGTTAATGTCAACAGCTAATTGAGATGAGCAATTTGTTTTCTTCCTAAGAACAGAACCTGAACGTTTGGGTAAAGTGCAATACCATATATATAGTACATTGCAAACACAGTATTACTTACTAGATGACATTTAGAACGCAATTTATTTCTGATAATCATATGAAAATGACCATTTGAGTTTTATGGTTCTTTAACTTCTCATTCTTTGTCTTCAGTGTTTGTAGAGTACTTCAAAGATTCAGAATTAATGTTGAATTATCCCTGCAGTGTGTGTATTAAGTTATGATGTAATGAGCAAAGATCTGCCTCCTATCTTCACCAAATTGCATCAGCTAATTATATTGTCTTCGTGCTACGTCATAGTATGATTATGTTAATGTATATGTAGCAGTGGTTAAGAATATTTTCCTCCATTTTTTATGTTGGTGAAGTCTATCAGCTTTAAGTTAGTTAAGCTCTCATACTTCTATCACCCGAAATGACTCCAATTGGTTAATTTGACCTGTGTATTTGATTTTATAGGAAACGATAAGACTGAGACACAGAAAGGAGTGTTTATCGTTGACATCTTGTACCGTAGTGATGAAATATTGTACACTTTACACTAAAACAGTCGTTTGCACAGTCTACTTCATTTTCTCTGCTGCTTCTATCTCGATTTGCTCTTAATACGCCCACATTGTCTCTTGCACTTCCATCGGAAGAATATTTACTCATCACTGGTAATTGCTCATGGTTTCTACCGCCCTCTCAACATATACTATTTATATCCATTCTGATTAGCGGCGCCCACTATAATTTCCCAATTAGTATAAGATACTTAGTAGAAACAATTTTGTTGAATTGAGTTGATCAAATTTATGAGTCAATAAATTTGGTTTCTGAATTAGCTTTTAGATTTTGAATATCACTCCCATCCTAACCTTATTAAGAATCCTACGTAAATGTTATCTTGTTTTATCTTTATGTAACAACATTAAAAAGGCTTCGAATGTATAGTTCCTTTCTGGTATAAACATTTTAATTGCTGAGTCAGATCTTAAGTTTGCTAGCTTTTTGTATGTTATCGGGTGATATACAGAAACATCAACAGTATAGAAAGTGATGCTAAGAGATTATATACCTCTTTTCGGGAATGTTTTCGTTTATGGGATAACAAAATATCCACCTGCTTTATTCCTTATTTTAAAATAGAGTTTTATTTACATTTTTGAAAGCGTAACACATTTAGATTTCAAGCCATTATTATAAAAGTAGCTAATACATATTCACTCTTTCACAAGTAGTCGACGTAAGCATTTTCGACTGATAAGAAAATTCAATAGTTACTAAAGATGTTGAGTACTAGTTTCTCATTTCTTACTGGGGGAAGATTTTCTTTTCATCCCTGGGGTATATCTAGGTTAACGCGTTTGAAAGAGAGGTATAAAAGGCCCAAACATAAAGCAATCAACAATGACTTTGGATTCAGTCATCATCATGACTTTCTTACCCTAAAACAAAGACTGTGCCTACATAAACTCAGCATTTCTTGATTTCCTTTACCTAACTCTCATGTTTTGCACTGTGACACGATGCGGTTTTAGTAAGGAGGCAAACTGTTAAACACTACTCAAAATCTATTGCGATTGATAATATGGCCCTCTAGTTTCATGCCTTTATCTGTCAGTTTTGTTGATGAGTTTGATTTCTCAAATCAAAGTGGTAACCTATATCATGGGATAGTGTCCTTAAGTATGGTATGTGCTTTGAACAACTGAAGTGCAAAGTACTTTTGCAATATTGGCAAGAGCCTGTGCCTGTGCTCACCCTTAGTGGTGAGTTGTTGAAAGTAGTCAAAAAGTTCATGTATCTACGTAGTTGTGTGAGAGTACTGGTGAAAGTGTGGGTGATGAAATTTCCAGCTTCTTATTGAAAGTCAGCGTAGCATACGCCAATCTGGGCCACCTTTGACGCCGTCACGACGTTAGTCTGACCGTAAAAAGTCGGGTTTACAACGCTTTGGTGCAAGAAGCTCTGTTCTACGCCTGTGAAACCTGGCCTCTCTGAGCTGAGGACGTGCGATGACTGTGTGTTCGATCATCGTTGTCTCCTTAGGTTTGCCGGTATTCGGTGGCAATACCATGTGGGTAAT